CAATGCTTGTGTCGCCCGCCTGAAGGTGTGGCGAAGACCTCAGCAAGCCTGGATGGTCTCAGTAAGGACTAAAGTCATATTCTAGAAATTTCTGTGAGAACAGTTTCATCTGTTCAGACACATGCAATTGCCTCAGCTTATGATGGTTTTTGGAAAATGATTGTTGTGAGCAGAAAAAGTTAGCAACTGGGAACCCAGACAAGACCAGAGAAGACCAGTCTGCTGTCTGCATGTCTTTTTTTTACTTCATTGATCACTTCCTGCTTGCTTTACTAATAAGGTGGTGGTTTTCCATGGACATTTGAAGTGTCACACTCATGTGCCCTGTTCTGCCCCTTTCTATCCTGTCTTGCTCTTCAGAGTTGTCAGCGGTTTTTATATTTTCTTCCAGAATCTTCAAGTAACCTAGCAGAGGCCCCTATTTCCAAATCTGTTGGTGGTGGTCGGCCTTAAGACGCCAACAGTAAGGCAAGGATTCAAGGACAACTTGGGGAAGCTGAGGGGAAGGCAGTCAGTAAGGGGCTACAGCGCTTTGATTGTCTGGAACCAAGAGCTTGTGTGCAAACACGGCCAGTGTAAGATGGAGTCAGAGTCACTGGCTGCAATTTGCTGCTGTCCTGTGGGCAGTGAGTTCCCACATCCAGACAACTTCAATGCAAAGAAACACAGATGCTGACTGCTAGACCCAGGGCTGCTGCGCACTGCCACAGTCAAGGCCAGGTGTGTGGGGCTACACATACCCTCCGACACAACCGGTGTTCATCCCATTGCTGGAAACCTTTGTAACCTTAGGTGCACACTAACATCTCGGCTGTCCTTCCCACCCAGGACAGTGATGCTCTAAGCTGAAGACTTTAGCAACCCCTCCATTCCCCTCCAATGCCTCCTCGGCAGCCCTTCCTCCCACCTCCTGATCACATTCCTGTGACTCCACCTGAGGCCTGTCCTGGATGATGTGATGGTGCCATGTCACTTGCTAAGGAGCCACAGTGCTCCCTACGGTTGCGTTTCTTTGATTGAGAGTTTATGTTTCCTTACAATGCTGTGTTTTAGTTTTGCTGCACTTCTGCCTGTCTTTTCGTGCTGGCATTCTTCTCTAACCTGACCAGGAGGGACCGACGTTCTGCTGAGTACCTTTTGCTCCTTGGAGTTGCCCTGCAGTGCCCTGACCCCCATCAGATCTGCAGCACTCAGACCACGAAATAATACTCAGCCTCAAAAAAGGGACCACTATGGATGCCTGCAATAACTCAGACACACCTCAGAAGAATGCCGTGCAAAAGAGAAATATCAAATTCTACAAAATGCAAGTTCATGTCTATTAATAGCAAAAAAGCAGATTAATGGTTTCCCTGTATACTAAATACGTCAGGAGTGCTGGCATGTTCATCGTGTTCATTGCCTCAATGGAGGTTTCATCTGTGTAAACATGCAGTCTATTGTAGTCCATCATACATTAATAAGACTGTTTTTAAAACACTGTGTATAAAAATGCAACCATGTCTAAGAATGAAGCTCTGCCTGAGTGGGTGGAATGTCTGCAGGAGGTCTTCCCAGGTACTAGTTTACTTCTGTTCATCCCAGGACATTATTAACTTTGTAACTTTCCAATCATCTGCATTGCTTTCCTCACACTCTCTATGCAATTGATACAATTCATATTATTTTCTGGCTCAATTGGAAGTGTTGGGGGCACTGTGAAAAATACCTGGCTTTTCTCTCATTGAAAATGTGCACTGCAGTGGAAGACTCCCACTGGTGGGCAATGTCTGGACGGTTCACTCTAACTTGAGATTGGCTATTAGGTAGTTCATTTATTTCACCCAACCAAAGCTGTCCATGCCACAGGGAAGACCTCCTTAGCAGAATCCAGAGACCTCCAGTTAGAAGCACCATTCCACTCCCTGGAGGAAAAGGACACCCTCAGAAGGAACAGTGTGTAAGTGTGAGAGTTTGGAGGAGAAACTGTAAACCCTAGAGGCTCACTGTGGCTGTGGCCATGACCAAGAACCCAGCTCACCTGCACAGCCCTGACTAGGACAGGAACTTCCAGCTGAATTTAGGTTGATTTAAAGAAGAGGCATGTTTTTGGATGTTCCAGTTGGCAGACACCCCCTTCAGAAGGGCAGGAGTGACTGACACACCTCTGCAGGGGATTCTGATTACAGGTGCTGGACTCAGGCTCAGTCATGCTGAACTGGGGGCCAAGACTGCATGGCAGAACCTGTGCAAAGAGCTAAGTTATAAACTCTTGGAAAACATGGCTGATGAAGTACACTGGGAAAATCCTAGAGAGACCAGTCCCTGTTTTACAAAATGCCACTCTCCTATTTGTTACTGTTATTTTGACATGGTCAAAGTGAATTCAAAACGGGACTATATCAACAAAAGCATTATGTGCAACATTGTAAGGCTTGTGTTAATTACAACAAACCCTGTGTACACAGAAGTGAGAGCCAACCAGTATCCCCTGGGTTGCTATGATGAACGTTCTCTGTAATTCTTGGGGAAATATCTAGACTGACTTTACTTATTTTTAAAATTTTGGTGATGTTTACATAGTTGAGAAGGATGCATGCCCATGTAGACCACTGATTAGGGTGGGAATAGTCAAGGAATAAGGAAAAGTAGATGAGACCATTGTTTGCAATTTTCTTTTTCATCTTTCTGTATCTGGTGGACACTGTGAGAGAAGGGGAAAGGGCCTCGCTCAGTATCCTAACTGCATCAGTATCTGGGGATGGAGGACACCACTCAGGGTCATCCCAGAGTCCCTGATGTGGAGCATGTTCCAAGGGTTCTACATAAGTGGTTTGGATAGTTCTGAGATGCTGTTGATTTCATTGCTCCTAGGATGAGGAAATCCTTCCAAGGTCCATTGACTGATACAGTCCACCTTAGAGTCCCCCATTATCCAAATACTTGCTGTCAGTGCTTGGTTGTGGGAATTGCCCAATTTGTTCTGCCCTTCATCCCCTGCTATGGCACTAGATGTTCTCTGCAGGCCTCAATGAACTGTCATATCCCCCACATGCATCTGGGCATGCCACCCCCTACACTGACTTCAGTAACTGAAGAGGCACAGTTCTGACATGCGCATTCTACATAGACTGACTTTAAAGGCTCAAGGTCAACTCTCTTTGTCAAGAGTAAAATTCTCCCTGCAGAGATGGAAGCCAACAGACAAGCTGTTTGGGGTGGGCTAACGTGGGGAACACTAGCCCACTGTGACAGAAAGGAGCTAATGGAAACTAAGGCATTTTATAACGATGCTTCTGATACTGAAAACTCTCCCTCAAGAGGAGAAATTTTGAGCTGTGTTGTGGAAAGATCTCTAAGAAATCTCTGCTCTTGTGAAACAAAAAATGGAAAGAAAAGAAAAACATGGGTAGATCTCCCTCTCTGGGCTCACTGCTCTAGGGAGTTTGGCCTCCCCTCTGTGTCCTGCCACTTACAGCCACAGTACCAGCACGCTGTCTGCCAGGATTCAGTTCCCAGACCTGGGCAAGGCCAATCTTATCACCCCTTTAATAATAGCATCTGCACTCTGCACTGACAAAGGACACCTTTGCTTTTTGTCATTCCCCAGAAGCCAAACCTGTGATTACAAGTACTGAGCTCTCTGCTCAGCACTATGTCCCCAGTCCCTAAGACAGTGCTTTGCAAATACTCCCTGGTGGCCAGGGAGCTTGTAGCCTGGTGGGTTAAGCTACCACTTGTGCCTGACTCATCTCCCTGCTAATGCGCTTGGGAAAGCAGCAGAGAATGACTCAAGTCCTTGGACCCCTGTCATCCACATGGGAGATTCAGATGAAGTTCCATGCTACTAGCTTTGGCCTGACCCAGCCAGGCTGCTGCTGCCATTTGGGGAGTGAACCAGTGGATTAAAGATCTCTCTCTTTCTCACTCTGCCTTTCAAAGAAAGGAAATAGATCTTTAAAACACTCACACACACACACACACACACACACACACACACACACACACACACACACAAATATGGCTTGAAAGAGAAAATGAGTGGGTGAGTGGAGATAATGCTTAGGTGGTGTGGGCTTGAAGTACTTTTGCTGTCACAGCAAAGTGTGGCTGTGGCCAAGGGGGCTAACTCAAGACAGCACTGCTCGTGACCCCTCAGTGGCTGGGAACAGTCTGCTTCCTCCACAACACGAGCAGAGGGGAGCAGCTGGGTAGTCACAGCCAGGGCAGGCACACAGGCCCAGCTAGCTCTGGCCTCCACGGGGCTGACAGGTAGACACTGAGATGTTGTGCTCAGAAAGTACAGACGACTCCACGCCCCTCCCCTAGGGGGACACGGCACAGGCACAAGAGAGACAGGAGTGATTGCCGGATGTTCCCGTTCACCAACCACTGCTCCTTGTAAGCTCTCAGGACAAAAAAAAAAGAAGGAAACTTCCGAAGGATGAGTGCTCGCAGGCAGCATTCCTGTCTGGGAAGGAGAGAGCACCGCGCTCACACCTGTGACCTAATCAGCCCCCACAGGACGCAATCTGCTTGCAGGAGGTTTGTTCTCAAGGAGGGGCCAGGGCAGCAGCACGTTTCAACAAAAGGTGTGTGTGTGTGATGGTGCGTGACTCCTGGTACAGCGGGAAGGCAGGCTTCCCCTACAGTGTCAGCCTTGATTTCATTTTTAAGTCAAATCTTGTTATTTACCCTATGATCTCTTCCACTACTTACTGGTAAATGCCACAATTTCAAGACTGTCCGAGAGTCCACACCCACCCTGCCCCATCAGCACTGTGGCTTGGGCGTCTCCTGGTACTGAGATGCCCTGGGGCTGACCCTGATGGGTGAGAGTGGGTTTCACACGATGGACGCCAAGATGCACGATACAGAAAAACAACAGAAAAAGGTCAAAAACGGCGAGACACTGTGCAGTCACATACGCAAAGCTTCAAATCTCCACCAGTGACGCAAGCTGTATGACAGTCGGTGTTTGCTTTATCTCTACATTTTTTAAAATTAGGAAACAAGTCATTTTCTAAACAAACATTTTTAATATAAATGAAAAGACAGTATGCAGTAACATCAGAAACAAAGTCTATTACATCCTGGGCTTTGCTCCAAAACATGGAAGATCTTTTTTTTTCAAAAGTTACAAAATGCATAGACAAATCACATTCATACCTTAAAAATTCAGAGAACAATTTAAAATCATAATGAAAAAAATGAATATATTCATGTTTCTACAGTCTGGAATTCCAAAAATGTTAGCAAAACTGTTCATTTCCATAATTTCATGAGTAAAGAGAGTTAATCATGTACCTCAACAGTTATTTTATATCTTATTCAAAAGTACAAATAACTCTAGAAAGAGTCCCACGCATACATATATATGTGTGTATTATAAAAATACTGAACCATTTATTGGACACAATTCAAATAGATGAAATTATATCTTACATTTCACAATCACAGTCCATCTTTTCCCTTTGGTTAAAAAAATAAGAGGTAGGTTTAAATAAAATAAGTGCTTACTACATCATAAGATTTTCATTTACATGCTGGCCACTTATAAAAATTATTAGAAAATTGAACTCAAACGAGCTTAGGAAGTGGATAACAGCTTCAACTAAAGCTCTAATTGTACAAATCAGAAAAGATGCTTGCGACCAAAAACTGTTGTGGTAAAGTAAATGCCACCAATACTGTAAGCTAAAGTTTCCAAATCATACCATATTCCCAAAATTTGAGACAAGATATTACATAAATGTGTATGTTGAAACTTGGGTCTTTTATTTAAAGTGGGCATATATATATAAGATTAATACACACGACTATAAGATATTCTCCTTAGCCTCATTAATCTAACAATAGCATGAATTAATACTATTGTCTTAGCTTTGTGCTCCCAGACTGAGAATGGCAGTTTCCAAAAAAGTCTGCAGTGGAGAGAAAACTCACTATCAATCCATTTCACGTAATTAACAAACAGGGGTTTCGCATCACTGACAGTGGTCCCAGGAAAGCCTTTCTGAGACAGACTCTGATTAAAAAAGCAGGACACAAAGGCCAAGGAGAAGACAGATACTCTTCTAAGGCCAAAGCGCTTGAGTTTGGGTTTGAATCTTGATTTTTTTTTTCATAGCCACTTTTCAACACAACAACAGACAGAATCTCTTAAATAAGCTGCCTGGTATTGACAATCAGTGTATAATAGAAGGAACCAAATAACAATGAAAGCAAAATGAAAAAGTGCCCACCAAAATAAATATTACTTCATCACTTGTTACAAGTTCTGCTATGTATGTTCATTCTTATTCTGCTTAAAGAAAGGGAAAGGCATAAACTTTACTCTGATTGTTGGGAGGTGTATTTTAAGTGCAATGATTGTGTTTTCTTGGTTTTACACAGAATGTTAAGACATCTAGAAAAATATCCCAAATATATAAAATAATTTATGTCTCAAGGTTTTATAATCATTTTGTTTTAAAGAAAAAGACATACAAGTATAAAAGAACTGGCACAGACTTAAATCGACCAAACTAAAGATTACTGATTAATAGTTCTATCACACAAAACCAATTTAATTCAAGCAAATACATTTTGAGATTTAGGGTTCAAGGGCAGAGACTTGCCAAAGAGTATTACTGGTGTGGTTCTGTGGCTTCCTAAAACTATGATCCTTAACATTTCTGTGTATAGAAAAGTAAGCTCAAATGCCTAAACTGATCAGCGACGTGTATTTTCCTTTTGTGAAGGAGGAAGAGTTGTTTCTGTTTTGCCACACACTTGTTACGAGTTTAGGAGAAAAAGTCTCCCCAGAAATGGCTGGAAATTTCATTAATCATGCTAAAGTCAAAACTTCAAACCTGTCATTTCTGAGTTACCCCTAAGGTTTGTTTCATATTCTCATACACCACGTAGCTGATGCCTACAGCAGGAAGCACCTTCATGAAGTTCGGGGTAATTCCTCGATAAAGTCCGGGGAGGCCCTCTTTAGAAATGATTCTTCTAAAGAGGCCAACCATGTTCAGCTGCGGGGCTCCTTCCACCATAGCTAAAGAGAGAGATGCAAAAACAGCCTCATTTAGGCAGGTTTTGCTAATAGTACCATAAACAGGGTTCAGAATAATGTTCTACAATAAAATGAAAGGTTAACATTTATTCCAAGACTGTTAAGAAAATGCCCCTTTATGCGATTCTCTTTGTATAGCATCCAATAGTGAGAGCACTAACTCTAATAACATGGGTAGTAGCAGCAGCTGTTTGCTGACAAGTTAAAGCTTGCTAGATCTTGGGTTCATTACTTCCACACCAATTGCGCAAGGCCACATTACACTCATTTTACAAATGAGGAATCGGAGACTTGGAATGATGGAGAAATGTGTCCCATAGCACTAAGACAGAAAGTGGTCTGCCTCCAGCATCCATTCACTTCCTATCACACTGCACTGCCATCGCCCCCTCCTCCTCCTGAGCTACATGCTAAAGATAGAAGAGGAAGTGCAGGACAGGAAAGCCTGAGGGAGTTAGAAGAACTAGGACCCGCGCCTTTTAAACAACATTAGCAGGCAAAAAGAGAGAGTGAGGGTAGGTATCGAGGGGTGTCCCTTTTACTGGCACAACATAGACAAGGGCAGCAGCAGGTACATGTTGCTGACAGGACGTGGCTATTACTCCGATGGCAGCATGAGTGTGGAACTGAGCAAGCTAGGAATGGAGAAATGGAGACAAAGCAATAAAGCAATTGCAGACTTTGAAATTCCCTCCTGGCCTTTTTGGAATTCACTCTGAAAATACCTAAGAGTTAGATGTCTGAACAGATGCCATATGACTGGCCCTTGACTTTTTTTTTTTAAGATTTATTTTTTTTAATTATTTTTTTTTATTGGAAAGGCGGATATTCAGAGAGGAGAGACAGAGAGGAAGAGCTTCCGTCTGATGATTCACTCCCCAAGTGAGCGCAACTGCCGATGCTATGCCGATCCGAAGCCAGGAGCCTCTTTCGGGTCTCCCACGCGGGTGCAGGGTCCCAAAGCTTTGGGCCGTCCTCGACTGCTTTCCTGGGCCACAGGCAGGGAGCTGGAAGGGAAGTGGGGCTGCCGGGATTAGAACCGGCGCCCATATGGGATCCCGGGCGTGCAAGGTGAGGACCTTAACCACTGAGCCACTGCGCCGGGCCCGGCCCTTGACTTTTAAAATGGCAAACTCAAGAGCCACACAAAGATATAGATTGGAGCTGGCAGATTGGAGAACTCATCAGCAGGTGAGTTTTAATTCTAGCTCCACAACTGACCAAAAGCACGACTTTGTGGAAGTTCCTGAAGCTCTCTTTGCTCCAATTACTTATCTGTGAAATGGGGCTAATAAGAGCATTAGTCCCATACGACAGCCACACCAGTTAAGAGAAACAACACGCAAGAAACATGGAGTTTCTCTGCACAAGGAAGGCTCTCTGAGGCACAGTTGTCTCAGCCCCTCGAATACGTTACCTTGGCTCCTGCCTCAGTGCCTTCACATGCGATTTCTCTTAGATCAAAAAGCCCTCTTGTTTCCTATGCCATCTGTCTATCCAGGATCAACATAAATGCCTGCATTCTCCAGGCTGGATAGGCAAAAGTCCCTGTCCTGGCTGCTCTACTTCCCTTCCAACTCCCTGCCTGGGCACCTGAGAAAGCAGCATAAAGACCAGGAGGAAGCTCCCAGTTATGGCCTGACCCAACTCCAGCCATTGCAGCCCTTTAAGGATGGAAGATTGTCTTTCTTTCCTTTTCTTTTTTCTTTTCTTTTTCTTTCCCTCCCTCCCTTCCTTCCCTTCCTTCCTTCCTTCCTTCCTCCCTTCCTCCCTTCCCTCCTTCCCTCCTTCCTTCCTCTCTCTTTCTCTCATTCTGTTTCCTTCTCTCTCTGTAACTCTATCTTTCAAATACACAACTTTTTTTTCTAATGGGGACATTCTCCAGCTCCCGATAGGCCACAGCGGCTTGCTCTGTGCTCCACTACCCAGAGAGATAGTCTATGTTTTTCTTCTCTATAATGACAGAAACCACATTTGAGTGGCTGAGTGTTCTAAGCCAGGCACCTGGCAATGCCTATCTAACAATGGCTCAGGAAGTGTGAGTCAGCAAATGATTGACAACTTCCTTGAGAGAGGAGTCGTTAGAAGAAGGGTTAGAGACTGAGCTGGAGACACCCAGCGAGTCCTATTTAAAGAAATGCAGTACATGAGACTCACCAGGGGCAGAGCAAGAAGGAAAAGCAAACAGAGAATGCAGACTTGGGGAACTGGGTGACACACTCCAAGTCAACCAACAGTAAGTAACGAATAATCAATAATCTGGCAGAAGATAAAGAACCAGGAGGAGACAGTGTGATCAAGCCTAAAGGGACAGTGTCATCTTGAGGAGAAACCAGAGTTCAGTAGCTGAATGGCCCCAAGTAATAGTGCCAATAAACAATTTAACTTAGCAAGCATTTAACACATGCCAGATGTATGTGCTGCTGCTAAGTCTCACCACCCCGCACAATTTTCATTCCCAATTCAGAGATAAGAAAATGAAAACCCAGCTATTTGGGGGAAATGTTCTGAAGCCAAATTCATTCCAGGCCAAGCTTAGCCCCTTAAAACATACAGTCAGCATATTAGAAGAAACGCTGTAATCTGCATCAAAAATCTATACCTGTACACAATGCATCTGCTGGGCAGCTGTGGTATTGCCTTCTCATGAGGAGGGAGAGATTGGGAAAGAAATTTCTGTAAATGATCCTAAGAGAGGTAGGAACACCAACACAAAGTGGGGCAATAAAACAGATGGAGAAATATTGTCGTAAGTGACGCTTTGCTGCCCTGATGAATCTAGAGAGCTGTAAAGCACATCACTGACATTGAGCTTCAATCAGGATCAGTTCTTGATCAAAAACTCACCTTGCGCCTGCATGCGAGTTCTCACCAAGGCCAGGGGGTAGCTGGCCAGCTGACCACACGTACTGGATAAGGCCCCACACCCCAGCAGCACCATGACTCCAGGGTTCACAGAGTCTTTGGCAAAATTATCTAGCCAGTGAGACTTCAAGAGCTGCCAGAGAAACAGAAAAAATAAAGACAATGAACAGCAAACCGGACAACTCCTTTCACTCAAGGTGAACATTCACTCAAGGTGAGCAAGTATCCTTGCTCCTGAGAGGTGTGGAAGCCATCAGGGCTGCAGGGAACTCACAGGGGATTTTGCCGGCTTCCAAGCATGAAGGTCAACAAGGTCAACAGTATACCAATGTCACAGCATCAGAAGAACCTTTGTTACAATGGAACTATCAAAATCTTGTACTGCCACCACCCGCCCCTCAGTTTACTATTTGCACATTGTGATTTCATTTGTGCCTTACAGAAACTCAGACACAGATCTAATCCCCTCATTTCAGAAATCAAGGTAATGAGTCTCAGCAGAGTTTTCTAACAAGAATCAGAGGTGCTGATCCATAGGCCAGGCTCCTCCCTGTTATCCTAGGTCCACGTATCGCATTAGAAGGCAAACATTGGCAGAAATGACATTTTATATAAATACACATATATGTCTGAACATATGTTAATAACCTTCTTAAACAAACTATGCTAAGTAAAAAATGATGCAACTATGTAAAAGTTATATAAAGCATATAATTTTTGCATGCTCTAATTTTACAAGATGAGAGGATCCTTGAAAAAGTTCTGCAGGCTGTATTCAAAGAGCTGAGATAAACTGCCGACCGGGAATACTGCATCAGTAAAACTGTCTTTCAAAAATGAGTGAGCAATCCACTTTCTCTGGGAAACAAACGCGGAGAGGGCTCATTGCCACTGGAAACACTAAAGGGAGTCCTTCCGGTTGAAATAAAAGGACACCAGCAGCACAGAGCTCTGTGAGAAGGTAACCACCATTGTAAAACTTCAGGGAATTGTAAACTGCTATAGCACTGTGCTGTAACGCATATATACTTTGAAATCTCGAATAGAATTTAAAAACTAAACTGAAAAATAATTATGTATTGCTATCAACAGAAATACAATAAAGAAAGCAGTGATTTGTGTCTTCAATAACACAGGAAAGGGGAGAGCAGAGATATCAAGGAGGGAGTTTTTATATATGATTGAAATTATAAATAAGTTTTCATCAATTTCTATAACTTCAATGTGTTTAATTGCAGGAGGAATGACATAGCTAATAGCTACATGATGTACAGAAAGAAGGATGAGAAGGAAGTCAGACATGTCATTACCAAACAATTCAGCAAGGCACAGAAAGACAGATCTTGTATGGCTCTATTTAGGAAGCATCTAGAATACACAAGTTCATACAGGCAGGAAGTAGTTTAGGGGCTGTCAGAGACTGGGGAAAGGAGGAGGAATAGGCAGTTACTACTTAATGGTTAAAAAGCTTCTGTTTTAGGCTGATAAAAATGTTGCAGAAACATTTTGTGGTGGAAGTTACATCATATTGTAAACATTAATGCCACTCAACTGTACACTTTAGAGTGATTGAAATGGGAAATGTTATATTTTACCATAATTTTTAAAACATGAATAATGTCAATATATCAAAAGCCAGGGAACTGTATGCTGGAAGCAGATCATATATAATGGTATATGAGCTGTATCTCAATAAGGGTTTTCTTTTTTTTAACAAATAGTAAATTCTTCTACAGAGGCTTTCAACCCCTAACCCCACTCCTGCGGGTTGGCCCCTCCTGACATATACCCTGGCTGACACCTGCCACAGCACAGCTGGCCACACCGGCTCTAGCCACTGGCTTTTCCATTTCCCCCAGCAGATCCTCAGTTTCTTCAAGGCAAACACCAACTCCTTATTTCAGCCTCTAGATTCAGTACCTAACTCAGGGATTTCTCTTCAGAATGCACTCCATCAATGCTTGGCAGATCCAGCAGTTACTGAGTGACTGTGAGGACACGGTTGACTCTAGCTTCACACTGTGAGCTCAGTACAAGGAGAGAATCGGAGGGGCCCACATCTGCCACTTCCTTGGCTCACAGTGACAAATGTCAACAAATCCAAGAAAATGTGACCTTTTTGCGTGTTTTCTCTCCCTCCTCAAAGATTCCTAGCACTATCTTGTAAGCTAAACAGCTACACCTGAATCTGAGCTACTCTCTTCATTATCCAAAATAGATCAGAAGGAAATCTAACACAAAAGGGATTCAATGCCAATCACGTCTGATATTTAAGGTGCTTGAAGAAAAAGATCAAAGAAGATATTCTTGAGCACAGAAATCACATACTGTTTTCTGGAATATATCTGCCTCTTTCTAAAGAAAGTCTAACCAAAAAACCTAATTAAACACATTTCAAAATCAAGACATTGCTGCACACTCACCTCATATACAGCAAGATCTATGCCTGCATAAGGTATGATGCCTAATAAATTGGGAATATAACCTTTGTAAAAAGCTCCAAAACCTTCATGCTTCAAAATCTTCTTGGCACAGTCATATATTCCAGAGTACTGCCCAGTTTTGCCTACAGCCAGCCTGGTTTTCAAAACCTGGAAACAAAAGAACATGACAAAATATTATCATTTATTGTATAGTCATGGAATTCAGAAGAAGCCACATTACAGGGAAAGCACACACATTGTACACTGGTACACTATTAGTAAACAACTGTCTAGCTGGTTGGTACATTCTCCCATATTTATTAGCTCTACTGGGGAATGAACAGGAGCCAGGAAGACTTATTCACTGCAAAGAGGACCTGATTGGGGGCAGCAAGAGTGGAACAAAACAAACTGATGATCCACAGGTAGGATGGTAATAGAAACACTCGTGTTTCTTGCTTGACATAGGAGGGGGCAGAAGGGAGTGAGAAGGTGGTGCTATTGAGATGTAGGATGTAAGAGAAAGATAAGTGAGTTAGGATGTTTTTATTAGGGAGGGCGTGAAGCTTGCAAAGAAAGCTATGTTAACATGCATCTCACACAACAGCTGAAATTAAGAGCATAGCTAGCTTCGGTCTTTTAGGTTATTAAAAACTCTTATTTTTCAAGAGAGATATCAACATCTAAGTTACTTTTACTCTAAAGCAGGAGTTGGCAAACTTTTTTGTAAAAGTCAAGCAGTATGTATTTTAATTTTGGCAGGCATAAAACACGAGGCCTAAGCTGCACAGTCTGCTTTTCTTAGGTTTTGCTTTTACCCTCCTCCAGAAGCAGTATTTTCATTTATTTGGAAGGCAGAGAAATAGAAACAGAGAATGAGATCTTTCATCTGCTGGCTTACTCCCCAAACATCCACAACAGCCAAGGCTGAGCCAGATCAAAGACTGGAGCCTGGAACCCAACCAAGTCTCCCACACTGGTGGCAGCAAACCAAGGACTCGAGTCATCAGTGCTGCCTTCCAGGGAGCACAGTAGCAGGAAGCTGGACCAGAAGCAGAGTTGGAACCCAAATCCAAGCAGTGCAATGTGGTCACTGTGTCAAAGACCTACCCCTACCTGTGAAATACCTAAAAGTCATTCTTATCTCAAGGACTGTATGCAACAGCCCTGCCCCCTCCAACATGGCTGCCAACTTAGGTCAACTCATGTGCTCATCAAAGGAGGTCCAGTTAGGATCATCAGCATTCTCACCAAATCCTGAGGATCCCTTATGGAATTCACAGCCTAGAAAATTCTCACCTAGAAAGCCTTTCAAGTGGCACCCCAATCCTGAAGCCTTGCATTCAGTCCCACATTCTGCAAGGCTGGACTGCAGGACCAGAGAGATACAGCAGAAGTGACAAATGGCTACAGTTTCCACTTGTACCGGTCTTGCTCTCTCATCACTATCTGTAGAGAAAGCTGGCTCCATGCTGAGAAGATATGCAGGAAGCTCATCAAAAGGCCCATTTGGCAAGGAGTTGATATGTCCAGTAAGTAGCCAGTGAGGCCTGCTTCACTCTCCTCATTAAGCGTGGAAGCACAGCCAAGATGAGAGAGAAGTGAGCAGACTGCAGTCCTGGGCAACACCTTGATTGCAAGCTGTGGAGAGCCTTGAGCCAGAAGCAGCCAGTGAAGCTGCTCCCAGATTCCCCTCTAAGCTGTAAGTAAACAAATGCTTACTGCTCACAACTGTTCATTTCGGCATAAGCTGTTATACAGACACAATGAGGCTGGCAGGCCTCATGAGGGTACTCACCTCCATGGGGTAAATGAAAGTCTGTGCAGTCGCTCCAGCCATGGAACCAGAAACAAATCTCTCAAATGTTCCAATTTTCTGTCCTTCCTCAGTAAGCAACTTCTTGTACTGCAGGAGTAAGTTATTACATGCACATTAGCACCTGCTATGGATGGAAGTGTAGCCTCCCCAATTCACCACAAGACGAGGTAACTGCATCAGAAGAGGTCACAAGAATGGGGTCCTCTGGGTAGGATGAGTGACCCCCTCAAAGAAGACATCACTGTGTTTACTCTCTCACACCCTTATACCCGCATGGAGAAACGTCTATGTGTATGCACGTTGAGAAGGCAGCTTTCTGTAAGCCAGGAAGAGAGGACTCACTAGGAAACAAAGGGCCAGGACTTCGACCTCAGACTTCCCAGTCTCTGGCACTGTGAAAAATACATTAATTTCGTTGTTTAAGCCATGAGTCTGTTGTATATTTGTTACACAACCGCATGCTACTTAAGACAATTCCAAACTGAAAATCAGATTCTAGAAATCAGTCCACTGACAACGTGGTGATGTGTCTCAAACTACGTTAAATTAATGATAGCAGAAAAGCAAGGTGTGAAGGCCAACACACTCAGTTTACTGGACAGAGGTTTCCAGGCTTACCTTCCAAAAACACTCATGTTCTACACATTAGATTAGGAAAGAATCAGAGTTTTCCTACTGCACAGAAAAAAGAGGCTAATAAAGCTTTTCAGACACCTCTCCCATAGCTTCTGTAGATGCATGTGTTCTTACTACCACAAATAAATCCAGCAAACAACAAAAAAGTGTCAACAAAACAACTTAGAAAAATAGTTGTTGTAGATCACACATATAGTTATGCTGAACCATCAACCCCAGCACCTCCTGGGACCATTAGTACTAAAGCAGCCCAACCAAAGGTGGAAATATGATCTAAATGCAAGCAAAATATCAACTGGGCAGGATGCTGGTACCACAAACTCCAGAGCCTGACAAATATGGGCCACAATTCCAGAGCCACATGGCCCTGAGCAAGTTCATGAACAAGTCACAGTGTCCTTGATTGTGAGAACAGCACCAATCCCACGTGGCAATTCCAAGGATTAAATAAAATCATGCACATGACACTGTTAGCACAGTGCTAGGCACCTGGCAAATGACTATGTGTTACTGTTGTTTTTTTTCTAAGTTTCTCTACTCTTTTTATTTTTCTTTTTGAACATCATGAGTTTTTTTTCCCTAAATGATTTTTCAAAATCTTAACTGTGCAATATTTCAATCCATACATGCAGAATCAACTGACCAAACCAGGCAATTGGCCTGCTTCCATCCAGCTCCTCTCTTCCTCTTCTACATACGGCAGATAATGCATTACTGTGGACCAAGTTGCCCTGCAGCACTGCGGAACACTGAGCTTGCTAATTCTGTCTGTGCTTTGGAACCTGTTATCTAGTTTCTCTCTATCCCTCTTCCCCCACACCATTCCCAGTCCTTAACAATCAATATTCTCAACTCAAACATACTATTTTTCTAAACTTCCACATCCAAGAGAGAACACGTGGTATTTGTCCCGTCTGGCTTATTCTATATAATGTAGTGAGTCAGCTGCATCTATTTCACTGCAAGTGTCAGGATTTCATGCTATCCTTACACTGAACAATATTCCATCAGGTTTATACACAACATTTCCTGTATCCACCCATGATCGATAGATACCCAAGTTAATTCCACGCATGAGTTACTGTGAGTAGTGCTGCTGTAAACAAGGAAGTGCAGATATCTCCTTTAAATTCTTATTTATTTCCTCTAAATATATAATCCGAAGTGGGATAACTGGGTTAAAGAATAGATCTGTTTTTAGTTCTCCAAGGAATTTCTCTAATGACCATTCTAGTTTGCATTAGTGTGCTCCCATGGAAAGTACTCAAGTATTTTCTTTTCTCTACATTCATCACTTGTGTGTTTTTTGCTTTTTGATAATAGCCTAACTAGAGTGAGATGATTGCTTTTCATGGTTTCAGTTTCCAGGTCCCTAGTGGCTAGTGGTAGAGACCATTTCTTCGAAAATTTAGGTGTTATTATCATCATTGTTGTTGTTACTATTATACTATCTTCATACAACATGGAGAGAAAATTTCTGCTAAAACACAGACTGTAGAAATCAATCAGATAAACTAGACTCCTCCTTTCAGAAAGGTGAGGTAGGTCTAGAGAGGCAATGGGCTCCTGACACATGATGGAGAAGCAGGCAGGACAGCAGAGTGGAGCAGATTGTGGGGTAAAGAGAAGGCCATGGACGTGTCACTGCTCCAAGGCTTCTTCCTTGTGGTGGCTCAGCTCTGCATTGGCCCCCTTCAGGGCTGGCCACCTGCTGCTCTTCGAGACCTTTGGAGCCCAGGCCAAACTACAGGCTGGCTTTCTTCTAGCAGGCCTGTGTGTTCTTTGCTCATGAGACAAATGAATTATGTTCTTTTGTGAAGGTCCCCAAAGAGCACATATCACCTCAGAAGGGGTCAGGACATCTGAGGGCCACATTTATCAAATGTCACAAGAATTCCTACTAACTCTTGGTGTGTCACTAGGGCAAAACTCTCCAGCACTGCAGATTGTCATAATCACTATCATTGATTAAACAAAACAAAAAAAACCTCCCTGTAGAGAGACAGGAGCCAAAAATATTTTTTACACCTGTTCCCACAAGAGCCCCCATCAAAAGTCCTCAGTATATATTTAGTGACTGCTGAAGCACAGATATTTAAAGGATTAAGTGTCTAGAGCTCCCAAATACCCAACATAGTATGGAAGGGAAGAGTTGAGATGTTGATCATATTGAGGGTGAGGCAGAGTGCTGGGTACTCTGAGTCACCAAGCTTCATTCCCATCTTAAGGAGGAGGTAACTGTCACCAAGACTTTAACCAGTTGCTGAGGCCACATAATTTATTTTCCCAAAGAAAATTTTCCATGAATCCTTCTGCCTATCTCAGCTCCCACCCAGTGGTCTTCTCTGTTCCCTTCAGGCAAAGCACTTTAACAAAAGGAAGACCACTAGACAAGCAAAGCATGGGCCTTTTGCCTCAGCTCCTCCCCACAAATTACCCACAGCCACTTGCATCTCCCTTTCTTTCCAAGCAGACACAAGGAAATTTTGGCTGCAGGCAAAGGTCATCCTTACAGAAGTTTCTTAATAGAACCTGTTTCTCTCACAGGCCCTTCCAACCTCCTTCATTTCTAGCCTCCACGTAGACTTCCTCTAAACACCTGCTGCATTAATCAACATCTCTCACCTACATGCTTTTGACTTAAAAATGTTATTTATTTTCATTTTCTTTGAAAGGCAGGGAGACAGAGAGTGGGACACAGACAAACAGATCTATCCATTCATTCATTCATTCCACAAATGCCTGGATCTATATTTTTAACTCCTTTCTGTTGACAAACTTTCTTTAGCAATGGGAATATTAAAATAAATCAGAAGCCCCCTCCACCCAGCTTACTATTCATCCATCACTCTCACCCTCTTCTTTTCCTTACTTTCATGGAATCACCTGAAAAGGGTGTCTATGGTACCCAATTTTTCTTGCCTCCCATTCACTTTAGTACAACTCAGTACTGAGTCTTACCACTTCACTGAAATATTTAGACTAAACTTACCTTATAATCAGTCATAACCAGATAATCAGTCATAAAAGATATTTTTTCTTATTGTGTCAACTCTCCTGCAACATCTGACCTCATGAAACCCTTCACTTTCAGGTGACTTTTGGGCTACCCCTCTCTTTGGAGTCCCTCCTCTCTGTGGTTATTCCCTCTAGGGCTCCTTTCATTCTCTTTGAGTTTAGTACCCAAATATTTCCCATTCTGTAAGCTCTTATTGACTTATCCTCCCCATTCAGCTGGGTAATGTACATAAAATGTCTCCCCTACATGGCGAACAGGTAACAACACAGCACATCTGTAATGGAGTTTATATAATCTCCCCAAGGAACATATGTGGAAATGTAGCACAAAATGGTAACTTTTAGTGGACCCATTTGCTAACTCTTCTTTGTGAACAAGTTCCACAAGCAAGAATTACCTGCTCATAGGCCCAGAATTTAACAGCTGTCTCGGGAGCAATTTTAATGACATTGGTACCATTTCCTCTCCAAAGGGAACGGATACCTCCTTCTTTTATCATCTGTCGAAAGCCACCAAATATGTTCATTGATTTTGAGCCATGCACCTGAAGACAAAAGCAAAATGGTATAAAAATATTAGTGGCATATTATTATCTACTTAATCATAAATCTGTTTCCAACACTGTTTATGACATCAAGACAATGCATTTGGAAATACATAGAAGGTTTAGAAAAACACAATGTTAGCAGACAGAATCGCCACCACCGTCGACCCTGGTTTCTGAAGCTGCAGTAAAACAAGTTCTACCTCAGCATAGGAAAGCAGAGAGAACACCATCTAAAGTAAAACTAATATGAACAATGACATTCATCAGGAAATGTGAGTTGAATTAAGTATTAGATTATGAAAGTCCCTCTGACTTTAAAAGTATACTGCAGGTGATCTGTGACTCCCATCTGGCACTCCATGTGTGACATGCACCACACTAAGAGGCTGCCAATGACTTGGCAAACACCAGATCCAGTCACAGACACACAGTGCACCCAGCTTGGCAGGAAAAACAAAGAGCTGCACCTTGTGACATGTCTTCAAGCCTCTCTCGACAAGAACTCCATGACCTATCTTAAGTGTCCAACTCATTGGGAACAATTAGCTTTTACCACAGAGGGGGTGGTCATTTATACACAGTGGTCCTCAGGACTGCCAATATATTAAAACCAATTGAATAAGCAAAATAATTAAAGAAATCAGCTATTGCTTTATTGTAGCACAGAAACAAATAAATGACTACTATTCATTTTTTTTTAAGATTTATTTTTTTTTTAATTGGAAAGGCAGATATACAGAGAGAAGAGACAAAGCGGAAGATCTTCCATCCGATGGTTCACTCCCCAAGCAGCCACAATGGCTGCAGCTGAGTCAATCTGAGGCCAGGAGCCAGAAGCTTCTTCCGGGTCTCCCACATGCATGCATGGTCCCAAGGCTTTGGGCCATCCTTGACTGCTCTCCTAGGCCACAAGCAGGAAGCTGGATGGGAAGTAGGGCTGTCAGGATTAAAATTGGTGCCCATATGGGATCCCAGTGTGCTCAAGGCAAGAACTTTAGCTGCTACCCTATCATGGTGGGCCCAATGACTACTGTTTAAACAAGCAAAACAAGCTGTGAGGAGTTACAGACTAAAGCCCCTGGTGTCCATCCTAAAGCCCTGTCGGCAGGCACATGACACATTCTGTGCACACTGTGCTGCAGCAATGCTGCGGAAGTCACTTGTGAAGACTTCACATGCTAGCTCCCCAAATGCAACCCAAAGCACTCCCTCAAGTGGCTGACTTTCACCTGTACCCATTCCCTGGAATGAACCCAGACCATAACTCTAGCAGCTTCGCCTGAGTCCACTGAATCTCGGGGATGTCTCAAACCTTCATATGGGCGGATCTTGCAGAAACAAGAATCTAGGAAAATTCATTTACGTAAATAAACTTCATAATGAAATATGAGAGAGGAATGCATTTGCATTCCTTGCAAAGTCAGTTCACTATTTTTCCCACAGTAAAACAGAGGCAACTCCCTTTTGCTTTTCTTGCAAATATTATCCTTGTTCCTAAATAAATGCTAATATTAAGATACATTTTGAATGGGTGGGAGCTTGAAATGGTGTTAGAAGTATTTTTGCACAGAAACTTGAAAGAAAAACAAACAGTGATACCTATAGGTATATCACAAACTACTTTTAAAAAATATTGCTTGTACAGCTTTTATGTTCCAACAGGTTATCCTGTGAATATGGCATTTTAATGGATCTTACTTGTGAGCACATCATTTAATTCTTATTAGAATCCTTACTGCATATTCTTACTCCCACTCCAGATGAAAGAGAATGAAATCTCAGAGGTTCAACCATGTGGGGACCATGAGTTTCAGTGGCAAATTTAATACATTCCTTGATTAATTTGTCATAAGAATTCACTCATTTTCCCTAATGACAAAATCAGCTAAAATGCCTATTTCAGAGGGTTCCGGTGAGGACCAAATGGGTTTCCTCAAAGAGAATCAAATAATAATTAATTCTTTCCACTCTGCAGTCATACTCAATCTTAAAATCTAGTGTTCTTTTCTGCTAATTTCAGCTTTAGATTAAACAAAAACTTAAAACTGAGGCCAGCATTGTGGTACAGCAAGTTAACTTTGCCATCTACAATGCTTGGATCCCATATGAGTGCTGGTTCAAGACCCGGCTGTTTCACTTCCAAGTACCTGTGCCCCTATACCTGTGTGGGAGACACACATTGTTCCCTGCTTTTGGTCCCCAGCTGCTACAGCTATTTGGGAAATGAACCAAAATAAGAATAAATAATTGTTAAATCATGGAGTTCTAGCTTTCAGTAATATCCCACTGTTGAAAAAGCACATAAGAGATAAAATTGAAACAATTTAGGCAATCACATTTTACTGACTTTATTAAAAATTGAATAATTATACAATGCCAAAACTCACAGTGGGTTGCACATAAAAAATTTAAAGTTTGACAGAAGACTGCAATTCTTCTCTGAGCTGAATACAGAAGTAATCACAGTAAAATAGACTTTTTTTTTTCTTTAAGGTATCGAGGACTATTACCGAGAAATTGCAAAGGCTCTGTTGTAACACCACGTTTCTACCCACTGCACAATATCCCTCATACTCCTCAGGCACACAGACCGAAGCTCACCTGCATCATGACTTTCAGGCGATCCAAAGGCGCAGTGCTAGTTCGAGACACGGCACCGGCGACCCCTCCTGCCAGCAGCTGCCGCCACCACTGGCCAGACTTTTTCTCATCTTCTGTGAATTCATCCGGAATAGTTAAACTATCCCCTATGTCAATTCCCTGTTAAAATAGGAAGGAAAAAGGATTTTACGTGCCTCCTACTAAAAAATAGGTTTACAGCACCTTTTGTTTCATAGAATCACCTGTTGCCTTACAGTTACGATCCACTCTCAGCAGGTGGAGCATACGGAGACTAGGAGCAGCGTACTCACACTAAACCAATGCATCATCAGCTCCTGAGGAAAGACATCACACAGCAACTACAAATTTATCAAGTCAACTATTAATAGCCTCACTGTCCTCAGAGATGCAGGTAAGTGTTCTCTTGGTCAGTCAGAAGGAGGGGCCAGCATTTGAACCCTGAACTCTTTTTAATCAGCACTTTCATCATGTCAGAAACCCACAGCTAACTGGCAAGGAAATCTTTGAAGAAATTAGTTTGTAAGTTCTTCAAAGACATTCTCTTTATCTCAAGATTATATCCATCTTATTCCTTGTACCATGCTATGCACTTTAAATACGTAGATGAAAAATTTACATCAATATTACAAAAGTGAATACCACTAAATTCATTTCGTATATTGTCCTAATTATAGGAATTCATTTCCTATATTTCTAAATATTTTTTATAAATTAGATTAGTACTTTAAGCATGCAATAGAATTCATAAAAAATTTAGCCAACAGCAGCATATTGGCTGAAAGGCTCACTCCTCCCATGTACTGTGAACATGATGACTGTAGCTGAAGAATAATCAACTGCTACAATAATATCAGCTTTCTAACATTTTTATCCAAAGGATTTTACCATAAAAGGTTTCACAGGCATGTCTGTAAGGGAGAGGAGTTATGCTGGCGTAGCTACCCTCTCTCTATTTCACTATGAATAAATGGATATACAATTTTAGCCTCACCTGTCATCAACTGTCTCCACACACACAATACAAATCACATAAATAACTGGATTACTAATGCAGTATAATTTATGCTCCTGGTTGAACAAGCACTCAACAGCTGTTATCTCAATACTCCACGGAAGCTGAGATCTGATTACTAATGACGATGTGAACTGCTGACTTCATCAGTGCACACTACATTTACAGAAATCCACTAATATGTATAGAAAGAAGCTCCTGGGAACTAATGCCCCCTTCAGAGAGCTGTCAGCATTGTGTGGGGCAGACTGCGCGATCACAGCACTTTGTTGTCATGAATACATGCTAGAAGGATGTCAATGAAGCATAACCTACGTTGGAAATTCTGTAGAATACAGACTGGTAGGAGCAGCCAAGCAGAGAATCCGAAAGATTTTATAAGTAATTACTATAAGTGCCTTATGCTAGAGATTGCCAGGCAGTCTGACTAAATAAGCAAATGTTTCAGAAGGGATCTTTGATCCTTTCATCAACGTCCAGGGAAATAAAATCCCAGCAATCGGCAGATGCAGAGATAATTTCCACAATGTAGCAGCTATAAAGATTAAGAGCCTGGGACTTGCATACTGCTCTCTGGCAGAATGCTTGAATGCCAGTAAAAGAAAGGCAGTGTATTTATCTGGGTGGCATTTCTTCTAAGCTTTGAGAATTGCTGTGTTTTATGCAATCTGCAGGTTAAGACACTCGGTAAATCTACATAAACAGAATACAAGTTAAGGAGTTATCCAGAGCAAGGCATACTGCCTGATAAACCTTAGATTGTTTTGGGGTGATGCTTGTACCCCCAGCTTCCAGCTCCAAATGAGTAAACTTTTCACTACAAAACACGAAGTGCACTTACTGTGGAATGTTTCCAAAAGCGGACAATCTCCTCAATGTCCGTAGCAGGATTAAACAAGAAGTAGTCTCTCCATTCATTCCAGTCCACTGTCATTGTCCCATCAGCATCAATGCTGCAAATCATTAAAAACAATTAAGAACAAATTTGGTGTACAAAACTAACATTGTTGTTTATTTTTTCTGTTTTCCAACTCAGCATTCTTACTAAAAAGGAATTTTTTAAAATCCCAGGGCCAGTACAGCTTCTTGACAGGCTAATCTTCCATCTCTGGTCCCAGCATCCCATATGGTTACCAGTTTCTGTCCCGACTACTCCACTTTTGACCCTTCTCACTGCTTGTGGCACGGGAAAGCAGCAGAGGATGATGGCTCAAGTTCTTGGGACTCTGCACACACATGGGAGACCCGAAGGAATCTCTCCATTCCTGGCTTCAGATTGGCTCAGTTCTAGCCTTCATAGCCACTTGGGGAGTGAACCAGCAGATAGAGGATCTTTCTCTCTGCCTCTTCTCTCTGTAAATCTTTGTTTCAAATGAAAATAAATAAGTCTTTTTAAAAAATTAGGTCCCATTTATAATTCACAAGTTGTTGGAAATGGCAGTGAGCCTTTTGCATTCTGGTGGGATAATTTATCTCAGTAAGCATGGAGCCAGTAAACAGAGAGAAAGCTTACTAAAGAGTGCACTCAAAACCCCAAGCTGACTAACCACCAAACATAAAAGCTAAAGATAAAAACTGGGAGGTAGTGAAGAAAAGATTCATGATACAATTTTCTTATACTGGCTAAGAAGAGATTTTTTAATGCTCTGTTGTTACATATGAATATGATTTTGAAATACACTCAAAATGTGCTATCAATTTATCCAACTTACTCCAAAGTCAGAAAATTAGCATATATATTTGTATGTATTTAAAGATTTATTTATTTTTATTGTAAAGGCAGATATACAGAGAGGAGGAGAGGCAGAGAGAAAGATCTTTTGTCTGATGATTCACTCTCCAAGTGATCGCAACGGCCAATGCTGCCCTGATCTGAAGCCAAGAGCCAGAACCTCCTCTGGGTCTCCCACGTGGGTGCAGGCTCCCAAGGCTTTGGGCCATCCTCAAGTGCTTTTCCAGGCCACAAGCAGGGAGCGGGATGGGAAGTGGAGCTGCCAGGACTAGAATCTGTGATGATATGGGATCCTGATGCGTTCAAGACAAGGACTTTAGCCGCTAGGCCACGACACTGGGCCCAGATTATATATATTAAAAACAAACAAACAAAGAAGCAAACTCTGGGTAACTGATGGAGTGTTTGTGCCTGAAGACATGCTGGTACAGATGGACCATCCTTCAATTGAAAACCTGAAACACTCCAAAATCCAGAACTTTTCCATTGCTAGCATAATGCCACATGTGGGAAATTTCATAGCTATCTTCACATCAAGGGTCTTAGCCACAGTGCAGGTGCACTGAAACTGTTGTATATAATTACCTGCCAACTACAAGCACACAGACACTCATATATATGAAACATCTGTAATTTTTGTGTATTGATTTGAATCCCTCTCCCCAAGCAGCTCATGTGCAAACGTTTCAAAATCCAAAACATTTATGGCATCAAGTATTTGGGATAAGGGGTATTTGATTTTGATTTTAATTTAAGTGTAGTTTTAGATATTTAACATCAACTCTTTGCTTGTTTTTCAAGCTTCTTCGCAAGCTTCATGGCAATACAACTTTTTGTACCTATTTTATTTGAACAGCAACTCTGAACTGTGTCAGAATTTTGACTTACTCGTAACTGTATGCCCAGCTCCTAACATAGTTGACACAATAAAAGTGCTTATTTATCTGTGGGGTTAATGGATTCCTCTAGAAAAAAGTTTTTGACATCTTTACTAAGCTGTATTCTGTAATTTGTGTGAAAATTATAAAAAGAGACAGCAGTCTATTAAGATGCAATTTTAAAATATTTCCTACTGAGTTTTCTAAAGTCACTTTTTTCTTTTAATCTGCCTAAGTGAAATTATATTTAAACTGTCACCTGTCCCAGCACACAGGTTTAATCCAGAATACATTCCACATCTGTAAAAAGTCCTGGTCACTTCTGCTGCTAACAGTGTTCTGGGTTGCAATCCCAGCTCTGTCTGCATCAGCTCTTTTCTTCGCTGTTCTAGTGAACTTGTTGCTTGTCTTACCCCTTTCCCCAGGTGCCCTGCACACCAACAAGAATTTGTGTTGATTTTGTTCATCATCATACTACTGCAGTGCCTAGAACAATGTCTGATACACAGCAAAGTTACTGAATTGACAAACACGTTTTAAACTATCACTTAAAGTCACACAACACTTATTATTTACATACTGAAGACAAGCTCACCATAGGTTTAACTACTGTTTCCCTTCAAATGAGGTTGAACAGCATTTGTTTTTCTGAGAGATGTCTTTTTCCTACGTATAATTCCTACATGATTGATCCTAATCCTTAAAGTTACTTGTAACTCTGTTCTTGTCTTTTTACTTTATTTATGATGTCCAAACACAGATGCTCTTAATTTCAATACAGTTGAACTTATCAACCTTTTCATTTTGGGTTAGCATTTCATGTGTCTTTTAAAAAAATAAATACATTCTTACCCACACTGAAATAAAGACTTCACCTTACCTCAAAGTGTCTACGTATCATATGAGGTAGGTATTTCTGTCTGCATTAAAAAAACAGGTGCACCAAAACCTTGAGTGGCACAGTCCCCTCCTTTCCCCAGGGTACCACAAAGCTAATCTCCTGTCACACATCCATAACACTGGTAGGTCCCTCCTTGGCTATGTATTACATATCACTTGTCCACATGTCTATTTGTGTAGCATTTCCACTGTCTTAATTGCCATTTACTACCAGCTCTGGATATCTGACAGAGCAGGCCCGCAGCTGCCAATGCTTCTTCAGAAACATCTTGGTTATTTTGGGGCCTTTGTTTCTTGAAACATAGTTAACACTAAGCTTGACCTCACAAAACCAGATACTTTTTTCTTCCCAGTATTGCTGAATTTCTAGTATCAGGTTTTTTTTTTTTAAATAATTAGTTTCATTTTTTTATGGTTCTTACATAGTTGATTAGGGTGCTAAGGGTCAAGGGCTACAGCAAGGTGAGTGAGACCCTTATTTCTCCATTCTCCTTTTTTCCTTCCTATATCTGGGGAAAGGAGGGAGATAAGAGAGAAGCCACACTCATGCTTCTAAATGCCTCTGCACCCTGACATGGAGGACAGCCATCCGACACCACCCCAGGATCCCCAGTGTGGGGTATGCTCTGTGGGTCCTGCTCAAGATGTTTTGATAGTTCAACAGTTCTGAATTATTGCCAATCACACCACTCAAAGCACGATAAAAATCTCTCCAGAATTCACTGGTTGACATGGTTCACTTTAGAGTCTCTGTTTGCCCAGATAGTTACTGCTAACACTTGGCTTCAGTAGTTGATTAATTTGTTCTGTCCTCTGTTGTAGTATCTGGTGTCCTCTGCAGACTCCAATTTACTGCCATATACTCTCCCTGTGCACCTGGATCTGCTATTCATCACTCCCTCTGAGCCACTGAGGAGGCTCAGTTCTGACACATGTACTCCACAGTCAGACCATGGAATCTGCAATTCTCTCCAGGTTGGGGGTTCTGAGTCTGGCGGGTCAGTTGGGGGATCTCCAAACTTCATCTGAGGTGATCCCAGATCTCATTCTTGTGTATGCTTGCCAATACAGTCCGACACAGTTTGTTGCCCCAATCAGCTTAGGCACATGCTGGTGGTTGCAACTGCTGGGAAAGTTTTGTCTCCAGCCCTGTCTTACACAAACCAATGGGCATTGCAGCCCAGCCTGATCCTGCCCATCACACACTCAGCCCTCACATACACCAGTGGGAGCTGCAGCCTAGTCCGAGCAACCCGCATTAACCCCCACCAGACCCGCCTCCTGCCTGGTTCCCATGCTTACCAGTGTGTACAGCAGAGTGGTTAGGCTGTCCCACATCCCATTCAGCTCTCAAACATGTCAATGGGCATTGAAACCTAGTTCAACCCAACCTGCCCTACTATCCAACCAACACACATACCAGTGGGTGCCACTCTCTGTCTGGCCATGTCTGCCCCAATACTGGTACTCATGCTCACCAATCCAAGTGGCAATCCAAGAGGGAGGTGCCCACTGTTTTTCCTACTGGGCCCACTCCCACTCATGGATCTTGTACTCTCCACATGGTTCTGCAGTTTAACTTGACAAAATTTGCCCTCTCGTGCCAGCATCTGCCAGTTGATGCTGCAGCAAAGCCTAACCAACCCACACCCACTCTGGCTTATGCATGTACCAGTAGAAACAGTCAACCAAGCCTGGCTTTCTCCTGATCCAGCTCACATAAGGCCAACAGGTGTTGTAAGTCCTGCCTGCCTGATCTGCTCCCATCCCAACTCACCAGTGGGAGTAGTGGTCCAACAGCAAAGCCCCCATGCTGTCCCCCTACCGGCTTTGTTCCCTCCACCCCTGGGTCTCACATGTGCCGGCTGGTTACTGTGGCCCAGTCTGGCATGGCCCACCTCACCTCAGCATTTGCCAGTGGGTGCTGTAGCCTGGCTGGGCCTGGCCCACCCAAACTCCAGCTCATGCTGATGGGGGCTACAACCTGGCCCAGCCCAGCTGGCCTCCAGTCCTGGCCCTCATGTGAATTGGCTTGTGTTGCAGCCCAACCTGGTCTGATTCACACTCCATTCTGGTGCTCAGATTTGCCAGCAGGTGATATGAACTGGCCAGGCTGGTTCATCCCCAACCTGTGCCAAATGTATGCTGGTGGATATAGTAACCTGGCCTGGTCTGGGCTGCACCCTATTGTGGTTCTTGCACTCACCTGCAGGGACTATGTCCTGACAGAGGAGTTCCCCAAGTTCCACCATTGTTGGGTCAGTGGGCCAGCCCTACTTACTTAGTCTACCTCCTGTCCTAGCAGGAACAATGGCCTTTCCTGACTGGTCTTCACCCATTCTGGTTTGTATTGTTGGGTGCTACAGCCAAGCCAAGCCTACTCCACACCCAGACACAGCTCACACCTGGCTCAGCAGGGGCAGAGATCTAGCTTCACTCATCC